GTCGGCCCTCCTCATGGTTAATCCCTCCGCCTGGCCACCCTTCGCGGTCGGCCCTCTTCATGGTCGGTCCCTTCGCCCGGCCGCCTTTCGCGGTCGGCCCTCCTCATGGTCGATCCCTCCGCCCGGCCACCCTTCGCGATCGGCCCTCCTCATGGTCGATCCCTCTGCTCGGCCACCCTTCGCAGTCGGCCCTCCTCATGGTCGGTCACTCCTCTCGGTCGGCCTTCACCCTGTTGGTCTCTCATAACCCTTGTTTTCTTCATTATTCCATTCGTTGGGCTAAAGCTGCACTTGGGAATGGGGGACTACTGACATGGGTAAGCCCATAAAGATTATATCCCACCATTTAGGGCTCAATACATAACTCAAATACTAAAGCCCAGCATTGCTGAAGCCCCACGTAGGAATAAGAACCAATGACAGCAAGACACATGGCAAGAGAAGGGCAAGCCACATAAGTAGACAAAAATCTGCAAAGTTATTGCCACTGCACATCGCCATTAATGAGGCCCCTTACAGCATTTATTGCGATAATCCCTCTCCGTCGAGACAGAACGCCTTCACCATGAACAAGGTAAGCTAGAGCATAGACTTTTGGCCAAGGTGACAGGTCGGAAGGGACAACGAAATGATTACCGGAGGATATAAGCAGACGTCGAAGATAAGAAGAAGGTTAAGCTTTTCTATCTCTAATTCATCTCTACATTCCGCTTCTCTTTCTAACTTGCTCATCGGAGGGTTCGCTGGGGGACTCCCAATTCCCCGTTAAACTTTTGTGCAGGTCTTCAGGTGGGCTTGGTCATTCGGACACAGGCTTAAGGAGCGTGGATCAGTCCGACCCGTTCTATCATCAGTTAAACTGTATCATCAATTGTCGTCGAAGGCCCTTTCCCGATAACCCTTTCTTACCACCTGCAAAGGTGGATGGTCACAACTAGATCCATGGCATCCCACCACAATGTTCCCGATCACCAAACCGACCCTCCCAACCCAAACCACCTGCCACAGTACTTTACCAAGCTCACCAGCAGCATTAACCGCTTGGCCGAGCATAACCAAGCTTTGATGAATGCCCTACTCCAAAGAAACCCTCCTATACCACCTCCAGATATTCCGCCAAACCAGGAACGAGCCCCGACCCACACTATTCAGCAGTCCGTATTCTTGTTGGAAAAGGGTGACCTAAGGAATAAAATACAACAAAACATCAACTTTGGTAAATTGCCTTACCAATCCTTCATTGCTGCTAATATATGTGGTTTACTTGAAATGTAAATATACATTTCCTTCATTTGATAGATATAGAGAATGTTTTGCTTGATGGAGAGGAGCAGTAGAAGAATCATCATTATGGAGGAAAAATAATAAATGAATAGTTGTGGTAATTTGCACTGAGTGATCTAGAATGTTGCAAGAAGAGGTATACCTCCCGTCAAAAGTGAAGAGGAGAAAGGCCGTTATTATTAAAAAGAATAAAAGAATATAAGTGGGTCTTAGAACCATGTTCGGTGTGAGAGAGCTGATGCATCTGCTATAAGATTTCCGAATTTATTGTAGGTGAGGTGTAAATTTAATTTACTTGTGTGGCACATTACAATTGCATCCGTGAAGAATTAAGAAAACACAGTAACTAATGTTTTGTGAGGAATTTTAGTGAGGTAAGTGATAATGTCATAGGAATTTAGTTACTTCCAGTATATATGTTGAAACTATGAACTGTAGGAAAAGCATTTGTGAGAAAGTAGCTTTGTTGAGGTGTATATCAGTGGTTGTGCTCTGCAGTTGTCAAACGGGATATTGTAAAACAATACGAATTCCTCAATTGTTAATAAACCTTGACGTTGTGTGATTGTCTGATATTTGCGGTCACCAATCTATCTCTAGCCTCCAAGCTACAAGATCGAGAGTCACACTGAGTGTGCCAGAGACTTTGGTGTGCCAAAGTTTCATAGGGCAACACTTTTTCACAAGGGAAGTTCCCTGTGAGGTGCTTGTACTCCACCAGATCCAAGTCCACCTAAACCTTTCGACCATACTATTGAATGTTCACCTGTCTTGGCAACTGTAGGTCATGACTTATTTGGCCAGAACTACTCCCTTGAAATTGCATATCATATAGGTGATTGTTATGGAAGTTTATAATCTTCATTCATGCTTTGACTGTTGTTATTTTTGGCTTAAATGATAAAATGATTCTAGTATTTATCTGTTGCATCTTCAATGCTGCAATGAGAGAAGTACACTTGAAAGTGCCCTGAATTTTATTTTTATTTTTTTTTGCAGGTAAAAATAGATTGCTAATTATCAGAAGTTCTTGTGTATTTATGACTTCTTTGAAGAAACATCGGACTACAAATTGGTGAATAGTGGCTACTTTCGATCTACTAGTTTTGGTTTAACAATTTGTAGAACCTCGTTTCTAGACTTGGATGTTTATTTCAGTTCTCTCTGTAACTACCGTCACAGTTATGATGTCCCAAAATTTGAAAAATAAAAGATAGAATTTCAATGGTTACTTGTTCTCTGTTCAATTATGATGATTTTATTTATTGTATAGATCTAACATTTGATCCTACTTCATTATCCCAAAAACAAAACAAAACCAAAGAGCGAGACGAAAGACATTTTTGAATTTTCCAAATGCTATCTACTTGTATGGATTCTGCATTATGCTTTTTTGTTTTCTACCACTGAAAATCTCTACTTGTTTAGCATTTCATAATGCCTTCTCTCTCTTATCTATCTATGCTTTTTTATAATAATTATTCTTCTTCTTATTTACAGATGAATGATATCCCAAGGAACAGGGGTTTAGAGGTTGGGGTTACCATCTGATGGTCCAGATCAAATCCCCATTCATACTGGATTTGCCAAACTAGTTTCATGGTGGTTCTACTTGGATATAATCGCATAAATTATCTGGCAGGCTCCAATATTTATATGCGCACTCAAATGTACGAGTTTGTCCTTGGTGTTATTTAACATTATATATTTTGACCTTTATTTTAATTCCGGCTTTTTTTTTTCTTTTAAGGAGAATACTATCATATCTCTCATTAGAGGTGTAAAACATTGAATTGCCTTCCCTGCGATTCAGTAGTCCTCCTCTTTGATAGCTCTTAGGCCAGTGAATTTCACTCCTTCAGTTCCTACTTTCATTTCTATTTTTTTCGTAGAGTAATGCTATAAAAATTAAGACATCTTAGCATCACATGTGTCCTACTATTTAAGTGGTGGGTTAAAGATTTATTGGTTTGAATAGCACTTTTTTTCATGAATTTTGTGAAAACTGCAGTGTAACCTGTATCCAGTCACATCTCTTCCCAATCTTCTTCTTTGTTTGTTAACTTTGATCATTCATTGCCATGCTTTGAACTTTGTTTTTGCAAGGAGAATAGAGGCTGCGAAGGATGAATTCATCTATGAAGTAACTTTCTCATCTATGAAGCAACTCTGGCTAGGCTTGATCACAAGAAGAATTATATTATGAGAAAAGCTACCATGTGGATTAAAAAAAGATGCATAAAATATAGTTTTTTTTCATCACAAAAAATATAAATGCAACTTGAGCATGATCAACTCGAGAGAGAATTAAACAAAATTAAATGCACAGTATATTCAAACTTTTTAAAATTGTTAAGTTTGTTTTTGTTTTTGTTTTTTGAACAATAATAAATAAATAAAACAATAAAGAAAAAAAGAAAATTATTGATAAAATGATAATGTTGATAATTCTAAAAAGGCAACGAGTGGCAAATGTGTTCAAATAATAGGTTTGAGAAAACTTCACCACAATTTTAACATATTTTTCTATGTATTTCAATCATAATTATTTTTATATATTAAAAAAAATTATAAATATATACTTAGAGAAAGATTTTCAAACAAATAAAAAGTTATGCTTGGTTTATAGATTTGTGTAGAGATTTAAAAAAGAAAAGAAAAAAGATGAGTAAAATATGAATAAAATATAACATTTTTTTTTTCTTTTCCGTTCTAAACTCCTACCTAACTCCATGAATCAAACTTGGCCAAAGGAAGAAAAAAAAAACCCACATGTAATGTAATAGAAGAATCAATCTTCCAAAAAAATAAAATAAAAAAATCCTATAATTTACACGGCCTCTAGATATAGAACTCTGTCCCGTTCGGCCCAAGCTCTACAATATGCTCAAACCAGCCTAGCCCATTGCACCGTACGCAGTAACAACTGCGTTGTATTGGTGCTGTTTGATGCAACTTATTGCAATTTAAAATCTGATAATCAAAAATCAGAAATCAAAAGCACCCCATTCCCAGCTTTCAAATAATCAGTTTTTCTCAACTTATTTAAGTTATTTCTGTCTAAAAGTAGAAATTGCACCAAACAGTTTACCACAAATTTCCAAATTAAAATAAGCTATATCACCCCCTATAATCTACACCAAACACTCTCATTGTAATCAACTTGTTTGGTTTTAGTTTTTAGAAAACACTTTTCAAAAAAATTTATTTATTTTATTTTTCATATAAACACTGATCTCTGTTCTGAAAACACCTGAAAAATAAAAAAATACAAAAAATAAAAAAACTTAATTTTTAAAAAACTGAAATCATGAGATCTAAATAGAGTTATTGGCGCCATTTGGGAATAGGTGGGTGAGGCTAATGTAGCCTAAAATGAGAAATAAGCAAAAAAAAGCGACACTGTTCACAATTTTTTTAAAAGAAAAAAAAAAATAGGCTCTGCGCGCTGGACAGTTACACTGTCACAGTCGGAAATTGGTACATCAACGGCAAAATTACTATTTTGTCCCTTTATATCAATTTAAAAAATAAAAAGTTAAAGATAAATTTGTCATTTTAAATTTAAGCATCATTTCAACACACTTTCTAATACAAAAACTCAACTAAAAATTTATCTCATTTTTCCAAACACAAAACTAAAATAATCTACTAAAATAATTAAAAAATCAAATAACTTACTAAAATAGTCACTTCCCAAACGAGGCCATTGGAGATCTAAATCGAGTTATTGGAGCATAGATATATAGGACTAATATCAAACCCAGAAAATTGAATATCTGTATCGATTCTACAACCCTTGATCTCAGGCGAAGAGAGTCGAATCGAACAAGACTGTTGCTGAGTTACGCAATCTGCCACTGGTTCGTCTTCAATCTCTCTCTCTCTCTCTCTCTCTCTCTTGCCGTCTATAGATCTATGAAGAACACAGTGTTCACTTCATGTTTCTCTTCAACACAATAACTTTATCACGTTTGTTCTTCGCTTTGTTTATAGAGTTTGTGGAATTGTGTTTAGTTCTCTGATCTGGCTTTCAATTTTCAATTTTCTTTCCGAAAGGAATAGGTGGTTGGGTTTGAATCTATGGCGTTCAACTGTTGCTGTGATTGGTCGTCTAAGTTGCCCGATGAGTTGACGGTGGAGATACTATGTAGATTGCCAGAAAAGCCTCTGATTCAATTCAAGTCCGTGTCGAAAGCTTGGTACTTATTGATTTCTGATGTTTGCGTTCCCAGAATCTCTTCATCCGCACCTCTCTCCGGATTTCTCTTCAGGTTGATTCCCCTTCTTCCATTCTCCGATTTCCTTATGGAATATGTTCCATCAGATTGTCCGAGAACCCTGCTGGACAGAGGACGATTTGTGGAGTCGTATTCGAAGCTATTACCCTTTCAACCTACTGCCAGGGATGTTCTCGACTGCTGCAACGGTTTGCTCTTAATTCTTCACCGCAGCTCTGTTCCTCCCTCTGTTCCTTCACAGTATTATGTGTGTAACCCTGCCACAAAACAATGTGTGGCTATTCCCGTGAACCCTAATCATCTAGATCCAATATATGCTGTACTTGCTTTTAATCCTGTTGAGTCCCCACCGAATAATACTAATAATAATAATTATAAAATAGTTCGGTTAGCTAGCTCTACCAGCACTGCCTCTGTAACTCATCCGCCGGAGCTGGATGTTTTCTCCTCCGTTACTGGCAAGTGGGTCAACCATCCGGTTCCACTCCAGCCTGAACCTGAGCTTTATGGTTTCAAGTGGCTTTTCAAGTCTGTTTATTTGGATGGGGTGTTGTACATGTTATCTTACAGTAGATACCTCTTGTGTTTTGATCTCAATGCCGATAATTTGAATCCCCGAGCTGTGAAGCTCCCGAACAAGGGCAAGGCTCTTGGTGTTGGATTCATTGGGATGTCCAAAGATTGCTTCTATTACTCTAATCATGTTGAAAATGCAGTCCTTGTTTGGTCACTTGACCATGACCATAAGTGGATTTTGAAGCATAGCATCTGCATTGATGACTTGGTTCGGTTTCATCACGGCAGAATTTTAGACCGCTATCGCCTTTCTCCACTGCTCGTGCCTTGTGCTTTACATCCAACTTCAGAAGTTATCTTCATTGCTATTCCCAGATTGATATTCAGCTATAATCTGAAAACCAATCAGTTCAATGTATTTTACATACTGCAAGAAAACAGGAATTTGATTGATGATGGATGTTTCTTCTTTCCTTACTCACGCTGCCTGGTTGTTTTGAATGATTTTACGCAGGTAAAAATTTTGGACCTATCCATTTTGTAACCAGTTTACTTCATATATATATATATATATATTTGTGTACATATTCAACCATGCGTGTCTTTAATATTTGCTAATAATTCATTGAGTTGCTTACTCTGTGAGGACCTTTTTAGTATTTCTTGTTTTGATGTACCCTTTGTTTAACGTGCATTCATTAGGATATTAGCATTTTCTAATAACACTTTTAAAGGCTGGAAGGTTCTAACATGACTTGAATTTGGGAGGTTAGTTTTCTTGAATGCTTCTTTCTTTTGTATTTGTAGACCTGAAGTGGTGTAGCTGGTTTTGAATGCCAGGGAGGAGAGAAAAGGGGTTTGGGCGAGATTATTTACCTACTTCAGTATCATTATGGGCCTTTCTTTAAGATTTTACTTGTCTATTTCTTTGATCTTCCCTGTTCTTGATTGGTTTTGGATGATGTCTTGGCCTCTATATTTCATTTTTTGTTTCCAGTGGAGTGCATTCTTGTTCGAAAAGGGTGACCTAAGGAATAAAACACAACAAAACATCAACTTTGGTAAATTGCGTTACCAATCCTTCATTGCTGCTGATATATGTGGTTTACTTGAAAATTTATATATACGTTTCCTTCCTTTGATAGATATAGAGAATGTTCCGCTTGATGGAGAGGAGCAGTAGAAAAATCATCATTATGGAGGAAAAATAATAAATGAATAGTTGAGGTAATTTGAACTGAGTAATCTAGAATGTTGCAAGAAGAGGCATACCTCCCGTCAAAAGTGTAGAAGAGAAAGGCAGTTATTATAAAAAGAATAAAAGAAAGAATAGAAATGGGTCTTAGGACCGTGTTTGGTGTGAGAGAGCTAATGGATGTGCTATAAGATCTACGAATTTATTGTAGGTGAGGTGTAAATTTAATTTACTTGTGTGGCATATTACAATTGCATCCGTGAAGAATTGAGAAAGCGCAGTAACTAATGTTTTATGAGGAATTTTAGTGAGGTAAGTGATAATGTCATAGGAATTTAGTTACTTCCAAGATATATGTTGAAACTATGAACTGTAGGAAAAGCATTTGTGAGAAAGTAGCTTTGTAAGAAAGCCAATACCTTGCGGTGTATATAAGTGGTTGTGCTCTGCAATTGTGAAGCGGGATATTGTAAAACAATACAAATTCCTCAATTGTTAATAAACCTTGACGTTGAGTGATTGCGTGATATTTGCGGTCACCAATCTATCTCTAGCCTCCAAGCTACAGGACCTAGAGTCACACTAAGTGTGCCAGAGACTTTGGTGTGCCTAAGTTTCACAGGGCAACTCTTTTTCACAAGGCCAGTTCCCTGTGAGGTGCTTGTACTCCACCAAGTCCAAGTCCACCTAAACCTTTCGACCATCTGACTGTTGAATGTTCACCTGTCTTGGCAACTGTAGGCCATGCCTTATTTGGCAAGAGCTACTCCCTTGAAATTGCATATCATATAGGTGATTGTTATGGAAGTTTACAATCTTCATTCATGCTTTGATTGTTGTTATTTTTCGTTTAAATGATAAAATGATTCTAGCATTTTTATCTGTTGCATCTTCAATGCTGCAATGAGAGACGTACACTTGAAAGTGCCCTGAATTTAATGTTTTGGCAGGTAAAAATAGATTGCTAAATATCAGAAGTTCTTGTGTATTTATGACTTATTTGAAAAAACATTGGACTACAAATTGGTGAATAGTGGCTACATTCGATCTACTAGGTTTGATTTAACTGTTTGTAGAACTTTGTTTCTAGACTTGGATGTTTATTTCAGTTCTCTCTGTAACTTTCTTCACAGTTATGGTGTCCCAAAATTTGAAAAATAAAAGATAGAATTTCAATGATTACTTGTTCTCTGTTCAATGATGATGATTTTATTTATTGTATAGATCTAACATTTGATCCTACTTCATGATCCCAGTAAGAAAACAAAAACAAAGAGCCAGAGGAAAGACTTTTTTTAATTTTCCGAATGCTATCTACTTGTATGGATTTTGTTATGCTTTTTGTTTTCTATCACTGGAAGTCTCTACTTGTTTAGCTTTTCATAATGCTTTATCTCTCTTATCTATCTATTTTTTAATAATAATTATGCTTCTTATTTACAGATGAATGATATCCCAAGGAACAAGGGTTTAGAGGTTGGGGTTACCATCTAATGGTCCTGATCAAATCCCCATTCATACTGGATTTGCCAAACTAGTTTCATGGTGGTGCTACTTGGATGTAATTGTATAAATTATCTGGCAGGCTCCAATATTTACATGAGCGCTCAAATGTACGATTTTGTCCTTGGTGTTATTTAACATTATATATTTTGACCTTTATTTTAATTCCTGCTTTTTTCTTTTAAGGAGAATATTATCATATCTCTCATTAGAGGCGTAGAACATTCAATTGCCTTCCCTGGGATTCAGTAGTCCTCTACTTTGATAGCTCTTAGGCCAGTGAATTTCAGTAGTCCTCTACTTTGATAGCTCTTAGGCCAGTGAATTTCACTCCTGCAGTTCCTACATTCATTTCTATTTTTTTTTTCCGTAGAGTAATGCTATAAACATTAAGACATCTTACAATTTTTCTCTCAGTTGTGGCATCACATGTGTCATACTATTAAAGTGGTGGGTTAAAGATTTATTGGTTTGGATAACACTTTTTTTCATGAATTTTTTGAAACTGCAGTGTAACCTGTATCCAGTCAAATCTCCGCCCACTCTTCTTTATCCGTTAACTTTGATAATTCATTGCCATGCTTTGAATGTTGTTTTTGCAAGGAGAATAGAGGCTGCGAAGGATGAATTCATCTATGAAGTAACTTTCTCATCTATGAAGCAACTCTGGCTAGGCTTGATCACAGGAAGAATTATATTATGAGAAAAGCTACTACGTAGATTAAAAAAACATGCATAAAATATAGTTTTTTATCCTCACAAAAAATATAAATGCAACTTGAGCATGCTCAACTCGAGGGAGGATTAAACAAAAAGCACAGTATATTTAAACTTTTTAAAATTGTTAAGTTTGTTTTTGTTTTTTGAACAACAATAAATAAATAAATAAAACAATAAAGAAAAAAAAGAAAATTATTGATAAAATGATAATGATGAAAATTCTAAAAAGGCAATGAGTAGCAAATGTGTTCAAATAATAGGTTTGAGAAAACTTTTCCGTAATCTTAACATATTTTTCTATGTAATTTAGGCCTCGTTTGGGAAGTGGTTATTTTAGTAGGCTATTTGACTTTTTGGTTATTTTAGTTTTTGTGTTTGGGAAGATGAGATGGATTTTATTTGAGTTGTTATATAGAAAAATGTGTTGAAATGATGTTTGAAGTTAAAATGATAAATTTGTCCCTAAAAATATATTTTTTTAAATTGATGTAAAGGGATAAAATCATAATTTACTCATTGATGGAACAATTTGTGTAGCTGACAGTGTAGGCTGTGCCTACACTGCCGACAGTGCAGTCTATTTTTTTTTTTTGAAAAAGCTTTGAACAGTGGGCTTTTTGGCTAAATTTTCATTTGAGGCTATAATAGCCTCAATCTACTCTTCCCAAACAGTGCCTCAATCATAATTATTTTTATGTATTAAAAAATATATATAAATATATATTCAGAGAGAGATCTTCAAACAAATATGTTTTGGAAAGTTGGTTAAAAGTTGGTTTTTTTTTTTTTTTGGCTTTTTTGTCTTTTAGTGGACAAAAAATGTGAGAAGTGATGTGATCCAAAATTGGTTAAAAGTCAAAAGCTAACTTTTAACCAGCTTCCCAAATGAAAGTTATGCTTGGTTTGCAGATTTGTGTAGAGATTTAAAAAAGAAAAGAAAAAAGATGAATAAAATATAATGGGTATGTTTGGTTTGGTTTTAGGAGATAAATTTTCAAAAAAAATTTTGGGGAAAAAGTTTAGAAATTTTTTTGGTTTGTTTGATTGTATATTTTGATAGGGGTGAGCATGGTTTGGATTGGTCCAGATTGAGGTAAAACTAGTACCAATCCGTTATATACAGTTTCTGAAAAATTGAAACTAATCAAATCTGTTTAGATCGTAGAACCAATCCATTTAAACACGTATTAGATCGATTTAGAACCACAGATTCACATAATTAAATAACAAAAAAAAAATATAGAACAGTATAATTTCATGAAAGCATAAACATAATTGAACCCAAATCACTTTTTTTTCTACCAACTCTTTTCCGCCAAATGCTATAGCACTCTACTCTAAAAATAAAATAATTGAAACCCACAAAACAGAGTGAGGATCCTCTCCTTGCAGCTTCCGTGCTTGCGCCCGTCCTTGCAGGCCTTCGGGTCTACTTTTAAGCCCAATTTTGATAATCCGAACCGTTCATATTTTATGATTTATTCAGTATATCATACCTGTAAAAAATCAAGTTGATCGGATATCAGAAAGCATATGTTTGGAAAACTGTTTATTAAATTCTTTAAAAAATAGTGTTTAGTTCAATTTTTCAAACACATACTTTCTGATATCCGATCAACTTGATTTTTTACAGGTATGATATACTGAATAAATCATAAAATATAAACGGTTCGGATTATCAAAATTGGGCCTAAAAGTAAACCCGAAGGCCTACAAGGACGGACGCAAGCACAAACTTGCAAGGAGAGGCTCTTGACTCCACAAAACAAGCCACACTAACCAAAACAAATTCCCAAGTGCTGAACTCCCAAAACAACTTCACCCAATGCTGCACTCTTCATTTCCGAGACAACACCAACACACCTCCCATGGTTGAAAGCTCCACGCCTGGAAAACTCCCTTTACGGAAAACTATGGGGATTCAAGTTCGGGAAACAACTTGATACATGGCCGAGCATCATAGTTAGGAAAAAAAAAAAAAAAAAGAAACACCTTAGCAAAACTAAAAATCTAAAAGACAAAAGGTGAGAAATTGTCACGACCCAAACCCGGCCCTACCGGTTTAGCATCATAACCGGTCAGTAATCCTCGGATTACCGAAAGACACTTAACTGAATAGCAAAATATAAGGGGCTAGCAGAAACAAATATAGAATATACATAGTCCATTGAGCTGTGTAGACATACATGAGGCAGTTAATTTAGAACTTTATATGTATCGTATACACATATATGACATCATATCCACATAGGTTATTGTGGTAGCCGAATAATAGCAGACGCGGATAGGCAGTGTATGTTTTCCCTATCGATGTATAGTATGCATTCGGCCCCGTCTTGACGTTTCAGACGCCAAATAAGTTGAGTAGGGGGCCGATTAAAAATTGGAATACGGCATAATGGGGGGCCGAGTAAATAAGTACATGACAGATTAAGAGCGGGCCCTACTTAGAAGACAGGAAGCGTATATAAATAGAAGAACGACGAACAAGAAGAGGGATGTGAGAATTAGTATGCTTAACTTATGACACACGCAATCTAGAGAGCATACGCTGACTTATCCGTCGGAGTGCTAATTCCGGCACCCCCGACCGGAGTGTTCATTCTTTTTCAGGCTACCAGCTGAGGATCTCGCATGTCCCATTGGATCCAAAGAGTATTTCTAAACCACCTTCCCCACAATTGGCGCCGTCTGTGAGAATACTCAACTCCATCCATGGCGGGCGTAATGGAAGATCCTCTGATAGTCACTGATGAAACTACACAGAGAGATGACTTCACTTCGACAAACATGCTTGGACCGGAAACTATCGCCGCAAGACGTGCCTTGAACTTCGACTCACTTGCCTAGAACTCACCCTCGACCTCAGCACATGAGACAATGCAAGCGATCATGGAACAAGCAAAGCAAAACGAACAGAGGTTGGAAAATATGATCGCTGAGAACGAACGTCTCCGTTAGGATTTGGCCTTGGAAGTGGCGAAGTCCAAACAAACTCTACGCCAAGATCCGAAACGACCTTCGAGGGCAGGTGGTCGACGACCTCAAGTCCGACAACAAGACACTGACAACGACTTCGACTCATTATCCCCGGAGTCCAAGAAGAAGGGACAACCTGAAATTACCAGTTCCTCTGAAGAGAGTCCACGTATAAGGCATAAGCGAAGACGAAATGGTTCAGACGAAGGGGACCAGCACGACCCCTTTGTGCGACGGATCGCAAAGGCAATATTACTCAAGAAGTTCAAAGCCCCATCGTTCACCTTGTGCGACGGGAAATCGGATCCCACGGATCATATCCATCACCATAAGCAAGCCATGACATTGCATGCAAACGACGAAGCTCTCATGTGCAGAATATTTCCGAGAAGTTTGGGACCATTGGCAGTCAGATGGTACTACAAGCTGGAGCCAGCGTCAATTAAGAGTTTCCATCAATTACAATAATCCTTCAGGGCAAGATTCATCACCAACGAGGTCCAGCCGAAACAAGCCAACTCTCTCTGGGCAATGCAGATCCAGCCAGGAGAAACACTAAGAGCGTATTCGGCGTGCTATTGGGAGTGCTTTAATCTTGTTGATGACTCTTGCAACGACTCCATGGCCATCACCGCCTTTAAAATGGGTTTGCATCCTAACAGTGCTCTCCGCAGTTCCTTGACTAGAAGGCCCTCCAAAACAGTCTAGTCATTGATGAAGAAAGTTGAGAAATACTACAAAGTGGCAGATGACGCCTTGCAGGTTAAAGCCGGAAACATGGCCAACAAGATGGCCCCTTTTCAAATTGCTCAGCCGATAAATTCTGTATCACCTCAGAACCCTGAACCACGACATCGGGCTAAATGAGACAAGAGACGCGATTCTCGCCGATCAAGCGACCAATGCTCCCACCGAGCAAATGAACAACTGCAAGTCGATAGCAGGCGCACAAGGCGCACAGACAAGAAATATACAAAGTTGTCAGAGCCGATCAACGCGGTCATGTCCAAAGTCCAACACCTTCCATTCATCAAATGGCCATCCAAAATGGTGGGACCTCCCGACACGAGAAGACGGGATAGGCGGTGCGAGTATCACAAGGATCATGGCCATGATACTGAGAGTCGTTGTGCACTGAAGGATCACCTGGAGGAGTTGGTACAAGATGGTCGGCTACAACAGTACGTCCGAAAAGGCAACTCAACCAAAGCAATAGCCTTAAGACAGGATTCACCTCCACTAGGCGTGATCCACATGATATACAGCCTGCCAACGTCATCCGTGGTGCATACAATTCAGTCGAATCCCGACCCTCGAAATCAACTCACTCTGGCTAAACGGCCCCATGAAGCCGCGAGCATTACTTTCAATGATTTAGATTTGGTTGGAGTGACCCTTCCCCACATTGATCCGTTGGTAATCGAGTTATGTGTAAACCGATTCACCGTTGAGCGCGTACTCATTGATCCGGGGAGCACGTCAGAAGTTATGTATTACAAGACATTCACCAAACTCGGCTTCTCCGAATCGGATCTTTCTCCGGCTCCTTATC